CCAGTGGGATGGAGCCCCAGCTGCCCACAGTGGTGGCCAGCTCATTAATGCCCCTGTGTGGATATGTCCCTTCCTCATCTCATGCCCCTTCCTCTCCAGTCCGGAGACAAAAACCACACCAGTGGTTTTAACAGAGAGAATTTAATACAAAGCACCATCAAATTAGTATAAACAATTGTTACCTAGTTAATTTGAAAAGGAAAAGAAAATACAAGTATCACATGGACCAAAAAGTTCAACATTTGTGGGAGCTGGGGGCTCATACCGTGACAATGCCCTCCTGGCCTGGGCAGGATCCTAAAGCATCCATGGCAGCCCAGCCTGTGTCACCTACCACAGTGCCAGAGGTGGAGCACAAGTGCATGTGTTAGGACCTTAAAGATGGTGAGTTAGACCTGGCCGGGTAAAGCCAGAGGACACTCAGGTGGAGGTCTGTAGTGGCTCCGATGAGGACATCGGTCATCTGACCTGGGTACAAGTACATGAGGGCAAAAGACTAAAGAAACCACCCAGCAGCTGGTTCTCTCCAAGGTTTCCCTCAGGACTGCTGGCACTCTCTCACAGAAACCCATGCAGTTCTTTCCTGGTAAAACCAATGCTTACAGGCCTTAGGGTTCTCCCTAAGCAGGTGGTGTGGGGCTGGTCATGGAGTACAAGTGCCTAGTGGACCACTTCTGGTCAGAACTTCAAGAAGTAGCTAGCTACCACCTAGGAGTTGAAATTAATGTAACTTGGAAGTCTCAGAGATGGGAGCGTGCTGGGACCCAGACCAAGCAGGGGCATCAGCAGGCTGGTGCGGGCATCTCTGCAGAGACTGCAATGAGGCTGGTCCTGTAAGGGCTGGGAAAATGGAAAACTGGATTCAGCTGCTGCTTCAAGAAGAAACGGCCACCACCGGGGTGAAGAAGCTCTCAGTCCGTTTGGGCTGCTGTAACAGAATGTCATAGATTGGGTACGTTATAAACCACACGAATTTATTTCTCACTGTTCCGGAGGCTGGGAAATCTGAGATCAAGGTGCCAGCAAATTCAGCGTCTGGCGAAGGCCCACTTCCCTGTTCATAGATGGCACCTCCTCACTCGGAACTCACATGCTAGAAGGGGTGAGGGGGGTCTCTGGGGTCTCTTTCATAAGGGCACCAATCTGGTTCACGTGGGCTTTGCCCTATGACCTAATCACCTCCCAAAGGCCCCACTTCCTAATACCTTTACCCTGGGGGTAAGGGCTTCAACACATGAATATGCAGGGGACATAAACATTCAGACCATAGAAGGATTGCTGTGGTGGTGCGGACAAGAGCAGAAAGCAAACAAAAGGGAAGGAGTGGCTTCTCCCTCCTCCAGCCTTTCAGCCTAGCCACAGCTCCCCTCTAACAGCACCTCCCAGGGAGCAGCTGGCTAAGCAGGAGCTGGCTGCAGAGTCCCAGACTACGGGGTAGAGCGGGACAAGTTTGAAGCCAGAGACTGGAGCGTACTAACTAGCACACCAAGCTTCCGGCAACACCACCCTAACAAACCTCCTGCACCCAAGACCTTTCTCAGGGTCAGCTCTGGGGGCAACCCAACTTAATCCAGATCTCCTTATCTACTGATATCAACCTTATTAATTAGAGTTACCTTTGGGGTCTTTGGGGTTACAAGCAAAGAAAACAACTAGTGGAAACAAGTAAGCAGTGTGTCAAAAGCCCTCAGGCCTGAAGAACTGGCCAACACCATCCTAAAAGAAAGAGTGATAGGAGCAAGGCTGGGGACCTAGAAACACAGCAAGGATTGGTAGGTGACCTTGCCAAAATGCCCCCCATGGGGGACAAGTGCCAGCACTTGCAGCCTTAGCTATGTTGGACTCAGATATCTAATTTCATGGAGGGTGGATCTGATTGGGCTGGTCTGGGTCACTGGCCCACCCAGAGGCGAGAGAGAAGCAGGATATCTTGATACATTAGGCCGTATCCAGTGTGGGAAGAGCAGCTACTCAATACAAAACCAGAGCTGTCACCTGAGGAACAGGAGATAGGAGTGGCAGATGTAATCTGCTGTCTTATGTGAAAGGAAGCATCTATATATTGAGGAGAAGGAAAGCAAGACAGGAAAAGGAGGCCAGTGCAGGGGGCATTGATAAGTGCTTTTCTTCACCGGCATCTGAGGCTCAAACCCACTGGGGATCTCCAAGAGAATGTGTAGAATATGCCTAAAAGTTACCCTAACAGTGGAGTGAGAGAGCTAGGGTGAGAGAGACCTGCTTCTCCAGGTTCTGTCCACCCCTGATTGAGGGCTGCTCCTGGGAGCATGAACTCCCCAGGACAACCAGTCTGCCCAGTGTATGGACCAAGCATGCACCTGTGGCCACAGGAAACTCTAAGGCAGAGTAACGTGTGCCTGCTGTGAGACGCTTGAGTGCAGCCATGAACCAGAACAGCAAGAGTTGGGGGATCTGGTGAGACACCAGGTGGCTAATACAGCAGCAGTGATGGGGCATTGACTCAAGTTCTGGGAAAAAGAGTGGGGCAGGAGCCGCATAGCTGCTCAATGGAGCTGGCAGCCTGGGAGAGTCTTGCTCCCAACAGACCTGAAGCTGTCTCAGGGAAGAGGAGATCGAGACCCTGCCATGGATGCTATGAGGAGGCCTCCTCTGAGCCCATGTTACTAACAAGAAACTCTTTATAAAACCAAAGTTTTCATGCATATTTCAAAGACCCTGGGGAGAGAGAAAGCCAGGAAATACACCCATTCTGCAGCTCTACAGGAGAAAACAGAACCAGACTGAGACAATGGAGTGTCAAGAAAATGAGCAAGCGAGTCAAATCCCTGGGGCCGCTACACAAAGAGCCTGACTAGGCCCCAAAGTGTGCACTGCAGCCAGCCCCACATTTCACAGCATGGGCTCAACCTGCAGGCTGAGGTGCGCCTGCCAGGCAATGGTGCTTACCTGGTCCCCGCCTCCTACCCTGACCTTACCTCCTTCCATTGTCCCCTGCAGTCCCCTTTATGTCTCCTGGAACAGGCCAAGCTCATTCCTGCCCCAGGGCCTTTGCACTTGCAGCTTTCTCTGCCCGAAATGCTCTGCCTTCAGCTCTGTATGTGATGCCCCATGTTGTCATTCAGGTCCCATGTCAGCCCTTCACAGGGTCTTCCCTTACCACCCAATCCAAACTAGACCCCCTCCATCACTCTAGCAGGTCACACCAGCTGAGTCCCTTCATGGTACAGTCTCTGACTTTCTCTTCGCTACCTGCTTACATGGCATTTCCTTCCTCCCCCACCAGAACATCAGGTCTGTGAGAGCGGGAGCATGTCTCACTGTTCCTTGCTGTCTCCCAGTGACCAGGACCATGCCTGGCACAGAACAGATCCAATCCATTTTTTTCTTGACTGACTGAATATAAAAATGACCTTTCTCTCCAAAGCAATACCCCCTGCCTTTTTAAATATTATAAACTGAACACATAGTCCAGAAAATAAAAAGACCCAAGGAGAAAAAGAAAGACTTTGCAGTGGCTGTTAATGCTAAAGGTATAGACCCACAGGCCCAAAGCCTCGTGCAGCCCGGGCTCCAGCTAATGGGTTCCACCATTCTCCCTTAGCTTTCAAGTTATAAATATTTCAAAACTCAGTGGAGTGGGTTCCCCATTCATCTTTTAGAAAAAACAACAAAAACCTAATTCTTTCTTGAAATCCAAACCTCAGAGGAATTTGGAACAAGACTGTTGAAAGCTCTAAAGAGAAAGGAAAGGTGACTCCATTTAGCATTCTATTATTTGTAACCAAGAAATAACAGAATGTAATTTGTGACTGTCAATTTCCTCTAATAACATGTAGTTATCTTACCAGACGCTTTCTGTAGGCTGATACTATAACCCATTTGAACACATTTCCTCAGTTCCCTTATTTTGGAGAAGCTACACAGGGAAGGAGAAAATTTTTTAATTGGTATAAACTTATTTTTGGACTGCGAGTAGAAAGACAGATACCGGAGGGCAACATAGAAATTTGTGTAAAGTTTCTGATTCTGAGTAATTTCTATGTTTTAGGATGTAACACAGTAAGTACCAGCATGGCACGTGCGTGTGTGAGTGAACACACAAGAATATACACACTCATGTGTGCCACTGCTATATTATGGTCATTGGGGGCATTGATAAATCTGAAAAATTGCCCCTTAATGGCACAGCGCACTGTCAAGCACATAGCACATGTTCAATAAATGCCTGCTGGACTAATTAACTCACTTCTAAATAAGGAACTTACCCAGTGACACTTGATTTTGCATCTTGAAAGCTGACCTAGAATTGCAATCTCTGAGTGAGAAAAGTTTAAGTATCTCATACCAAGTATATTTGGTATATATATGGTGGCAGATGACACTGGTGCCCTGCCTTCCATGTATTTCCAGGTCTGACTTACAAATGCCAGCACCTAGACATCTTTGCCTCAGAGCTTTCTTGGCCACCTAGAGCACAACTCCTACTGACTGCCAGGAGTAAGTGGATTAATACCCCAGCTCCCTCACCCCTCAGGGAGGCTGACTGAGATGCAAGATCTACACTGTCTCCCAGAGTTGTTCAGTGGCCCTCAGCAGGAGCTGATTTGGTAACACGCACCTTATTGGTGGCCTTCTCTTCCCTGCCTTCCCCAGTCTCCTGCTTGTGCATCCTAAATTCATATTCCAGTGAAACCTCACATTCTCTGCTTTGGGATTAGCTTCTGGGAGAATCCACACTAAAACAGACGCTTTTAATCATTTCATCTCTAATAAAACACTCGTCCACATAAGCATGCACTTGTGCTTGAAACGAAATGAGGATGAGCCAATGTCATCGACCAGCATGTTTCTGTGTGAAATCCAGAGGCTATCTGAGTCTCTAATGAAACGTACGAACCGGGATGAAGAGCATGTCTCTTTTCTAAATGAGGATGGTTTGTGGCCATTTAACACAGCATCCTTGTCCTCAGGGAGGCTGACCCCCTACCTTCCCAAGGTCCCTGTTAATTAGACAAAGGACGTGCACGCAAAGAAAACGTTTTAATGAAGGCTTCCTTGGCAATGCCAGAGGGGTCAGCTACGGTCTAATCCAAACAGGAACCCTCACCCTTTTAGCATTTGCTCTAAATTATCAAAGCATTAGCCCTACAGTGGCCCCAAAAACATTTTCTCCATTAAGCCTGGGCATTTTAGGAGCCCTTCTCTCCCGATTTCTTCTTGTCTGACTTGGTCTTTCCAATCACGGTCTCCACAATCACAGCGGTTTCTTCATACGTCTGAATGCTCTCCGTGGAAATCTTCTCAATGGATTCTACCACTTCCACTGTCTTATAAGCCAAAGCCCTGGGAGGGCCTTTTTCTGGCAGGCTTCTGCTGGTAGTCACTAGCCCCTGGACTCCATCCTGACTGGCCACAGGCTTTGGAGGCTGGGGTATAGACGGTTCCTCTGCACCAGGTGTGACCTCGGGATAGAGTCTCCCGGACCCCTCATCCTGCTCCTCACCCTCACGTTTCTCCTCTGGGCCTTCCAGCTCTGCACCATCTGGCTCAATCTCCTTGTCTACAGGCTGCTGGCCAACTGGTTGTCCATCTTCTTTCTCCTGCAGACCCACCTGCCCATTCTCTAAAGGGGGCTTGGGTGACTCGGGAGAGGGCTCCACCTGGCCTTCATAAAGCACAGACTCTTCCGCAATGGAAACAGCCACCTCACCTTTGGCTGCAATGGAGGAGACACAGAACCCAGGGTCCACGTAACTGGCATCCCCTGTGACCAGCACGTGCCGCTCTTTGGTGTAGAGCTCAGTGGGGGTCTCCGGCTCTTTGGGGGATTTCACTTTCTCCTTGATCATCCTGTACATTTTCCCAAAGCCTTTGCTTATCTGCGCTCCGTCTGGCACATCCTCCGGAGCCTCTTGTTGTGTCAGGGGACTTGCTTCTTTACTTTCTGATTCAAACTTAGATTCACTTTCCTCTTTAAGTACCACCTGGACCAGCTTTGTGTCTTCCAAACCTTTTAATGGTGCATCTTCCAGAGTTCCACTGCTTTTGTCTTTGGCTATAACCTCCTTCCTCCTTGGGACATTCTTGGGGAGGCCTTTTGGTCTTGGTTTTGCTGCTGTTATGTCCTGCAGAGCCCTGGTAAGATCTGGAAAAACACACAGGCAGAAAGTCAAGTATAATTGTTATTGAGAGAGAAAGAAAAGGCGCTGGTTGGAAATAAATGCCTATAGTGCTAGGGTGGGATTCCCTCATACGGAGCAGAAGCAGTGGAAGAAAGGCCTTGGCTTTGCTACTCCATAGCCCAGGCTACGGTCCAGCTCTGCACACCAGCTGGGTGACTCCGGACAAGTCACTGGATGCCTTTGGGCTTCCAGAGAGAAGGAAACCCAAGTCAGAACTGTGTTCTGACACCCACAGTTCACCACCACACAGGCAGAACCCAGCAAGGCATGCAAGCCATTGTCCTGACACTCAGTGGGAGCCGTCGCCAAGCCATTGTCGTGACATCCGGTGGGAGCCCTCACCAAGCCATTGTCCTGACATCTGGTGGGAGCCCTCGCCCCTGTTCCCACTGCAGCCCGCTGAGCTCACAGCAGACACTTGGATCCACAGAAGCCCATTCCTCAAAGTTATTCTCTCCTCTGACTTCTTCAAAGATGGCAGAGCTACCTGGGGGCTTCCGACATGCACAGATGGCCTTGGGCCCGGGTTTGGAACCTGTCCACGGTGGATCAACCTCATTCCATATTTAGTTCAAGCTAGATAAATCCCACCTGCCTGTGACCAGCCTCCCCTTCCTCCCAGGCCAAGAGTGGAAATGATACTATGAAATTCAGAAATGACAGTAATACCCTGTCCCCAAGTGCATCCTCCTGCATCCAGACTAGCTGAAAGAAAACACTAAAAGTTAAAGAAAACACCCGAAAATCTCACCTAGCATAATCTATGAGGCTTCCCAGCTCCACCCACATAGTGAATTTTGAACTTTTTCAATCCAAATGTCATCCCCTGCATCCCTTGCCACTGGTAACCACCGGGCAAGACAGACCAAGCACGGGCATCAAGCACGGCTGACTCACAGTGCAGAGAGCCAGGTGAGCTGGCAACAGCAGACACAGGTCACAAAGCCACAGGAGCAGGGGATGCAGAGAGGGAGAGGGCACAGGAAAACTGCTGGGAGCTGCTGTGCGAGGAGGAGGTGCTTACAGGACTGCACAGAATCTCAGGGCCTGGTGACAAAAAAACCGCAAGAGCCCTGCTTCCAAATTATTAAGAATTTCAGAACAGCATTAGCAGAGCAGAAAGCCAAGCTGGGACCTTTCTGAGAGCAAGCTCCAAGCAGGGCTGCGCACCTGCAGACCTGGCCCTGGGCATCCGGCTGTAGGGCCACTCCCTTTCAACCACGTTGACTCTGGAACACCATTTCCACAAAGCCCTCTGAGCTGTCTGGGAAATAAGAATTTCAAGGCCCTATAGGCCTGAGTATCCACATTATCACCTTCTCTTATTCTCCCCAAATGCTGGGTTTGTTCAGAACTGGGAGATTTCGATGCCAGGTGAGGTCTCACAGATCAAATGTTGAAGGCAGAAGCCACATTTGCCAGCCAAGCTGTTTCTGCCTGGTTTGAGGTAGGGGAGAATGAGCAATGACCAAGCAGCTACTCTGCACTGGACACCATGTCACGTGCATTGGCACAAACCCGTTGATTTATCGTGGGGAGCTGGCGGAACGCAATCCACTGTTCACTTACTGCCAAAGTGAGGAAGCAAGAAGCGAATACTGAGTTGTACTTTTCCCCTTGTACTTTAAATGCCTTGTGTTGCAAAAGTTATTGCTGTCAAAACATAAATATAAAAGTACAAAATAAATGCCTCACATTAGGAATGGCATGCCCAAGGTAGCCTAGCCCCCCAGTCGATTTTTCTCCTTATAAACTTGTCAGCTCAGTCCCTTAGCAAGCCAGAGAGGGCAGAGGGTGGGATGGAGTCCTCCCTCACATAAAAGCATTTCATTTCCAGATGGGTCAGAAGCCAGCATGAATGTTAAAGCCAGGAAGAAAGCCGCTTGGTCTTTTCACGACAGAAAAAAACAGAAGCCCAGAGCTGGGGAGCGTTACCTTTCCCACTGGGTCCAGTGCTGAGAGAGACTCCATGGCTCGGGGTGAACAGGGGAATGGGAGTTTCATTGAAGGCAGAGCTCAGCCTGGCAGAAAGAACAAGCCGAACAGATGGTCGGGGGCAACAGCGACTCTCGCCAATGTTGAGCAAAATGAAAAAAACTTTCTCTAGACCAAACTGCTCATGAATTAGATATCGTTCTAAACAGACAGCCATATACACATTTACAAACTGGATGAGGACAGAAAGGAAACAAGCATTTCTTTGAGCTCAAGTCATAAACTCTGAAACATATCTATAAAAAGTTACAAAGTGGGGATTGCTTATATCTAGAAATGTCACTTCTCCATTAGACAGTACTTTTCTTTTGCCTTTTTGATTTTTTTAGGGTCCAACCCAGGGTGACGTACTTAGAGCAAATAGGGCATGATATCGCCAACTTATTTGTATATATATGTATACACGTGTGTGTGTGTGTCTGCGTGTGTGTCTGTGTGTGCGTGTGTCTGTGTGTGTGCGTGTGTGTGTCTGTGCATGTGTCTGTGTGTGTCTGTGTGTGTGTGTCTCTGTGTGTGTGTGTGTGTGTGTGTAAATAGAGAAAAAATGATAAAGCAATTGAGGTAAAATATACACAATTGGTGAATCTGAAGTATTCAGGGGTTTCTTGTTCTATTCTTGCAACATTTCTATCTATTTAAAATTAGACCAAAATCAGAACTTATAGACAAATAAAAGAGATAACCAGCCACCATTCTGTGAAGCCCTGTCCCCAAAACAAAAATGTTTACAAAATCATTTAAACGCCAGTTCCATACTTACTCTTGTAGATGTGGGCATAAAGTGTTCACTGTGACATAAATGTCATTTGGAATCATGCCAGATACACTGACCAGCACTGGAGAAAAAATGAAATTCTGCTTTTCCTGCCAAGCATTTGGGTGCTCACAGCCCAGACGGAGCACCCAGGGCGAAGGGAGGAGGTGGGGACCTCAGTTGTGGGGCTTCTCTTTTCATTCAATCTAAACCCAGGAAATTAGCAAGACTGAAGTGAAGAATCACAAATTAATTCCCTGGAAATTTCCCTGTTCTCTGGAAAATCACACCACTGCACCTAAGAATATGGAAATAACTGGAGAGAGAGACTTTTCCAGCTGTCTTAAAGTGAGTAGGGATCGAGTCACAGCTCCACTACGGAGGAGACCAGAGAGCCAAGTAGTGACAGCCACAGACTGACCCAGTGAGGTGCTAAGAATCATGAGGGTGCAGCAGGAGCACCATCAACACCTCTGAGTGCCCTTGAGTGCCAGGCTCTGTGCCAGGCAACTCACCTGCAGCACCTCATTAAATACTCCTGGGCATCCCAGCTGCTGGGACACTTATGTCCCCAGAGGCCTCTGGGCAAAACACAGGCTTCTCAGTGAGGCCTTTTCTGACCACCCTACTTAAAATTGCAAGCATTCCTGCATCATCCTTGTTGCCACCACCCTCCTCCCTGCTAGAACTTCCTCCTTAGCACTGGTCATACCTTCATCCTCTGTCTCCCCTATTCATTTTCCAGTGCCCATGGGGTCAGGAATTTTTGTGTTTCCTTCCCTGCCACATGCCCACTGCCTAGAACTGTACCTGGAGTCTCAATAGGCACTCAACAAAGGCACTCTGCAGTACGCACTCAACAAAGAATTGTGGAAGGAAGAAGTGGCTGGGACAGGGCAGACACACTCTCACCTGTTGCCTTCAATCTCGATGATGCGATGGTACCGGTCCAGCTCATTCTTCAGGGTTTGCTGGGCGACCGCCAGCTGCCGGCAGTCATAAGAAGACTTCTCGAGGACACGCTCCGTCTCCTCAATCTCCTTGCGCAGTGTCTCGATCTGCTCGTTATAAAGCTGAATCTCATCGTCGTAACACTCATGGGCACTTTTAATAGCTTGTTCCAGAGTTGTTGTCTGTGGGCAAGGACACGCTGTAAGAAAATCCATCCCTCCTCCCCTAAGAGACAGACCTCACCAGGAAAAGGAACCTGAACTCAGTGAATGTTTTATTTTGTTTGTGTGTTTCTCTGTCCATTAGAGATTAGCAATGAATCACGTTGAAATCCTTAAGCTAAAAAGCAATATGAAAACTAAGCTTCTAGGTCCTTGAACAATTTTTTTTTAATAGAGGATCCCACCTTGTCACCTGGCAGGGGTGCTTCGTGTGTGTCCACAACAGGCATTTCCTACATCCAGACCTAAATGTACCTACTGGACACCTTGGAAGACAATCATTGCCATCAAAACCCAGATCTTCACTTTACACCCTTTATGCCCTTGGATTATGAAATTCCTTAAGTGAAAATGTAGTTTTCAAAGGTGTTCAGCAAGATGGCCAGGCATGGTGGCTCACACCTGTAATCCCAGCACTTTGGGGGCCAAGGCGGGCAGATCACCTAAGGTCAGGAGTTCAAGACCAGCCTGGCTAACATGGTGAAACCCCGATTCTACTAAAAATACAAAAATTAGCCAGGCATGGTGGCCAGTGCCTATAATCCCAGCTACTCAGGAGGCAGAGGTTGCAGTGAGCTGAGATCATGCCACAGCACTCCTACCTGGATGACAGAGCAAGACTCTATTTAAAAAAAAAAAAAGTGTTCAGTCATAGATCTGTTGCATCAGGAAGGAGGAGGAAGGGAAGAAAGGGTACACATGCTAGGCACGTTGGGGAGATGTCTGTCCAGTCTGCGTTGTCCCTGTGTCTGATGTCAGCCCCACCCATCCACAGGCAGAGTCCCACCAACAAGGTAAGCCCATTCTCCTGTGCAGAGTTATAGGAGCAGGGGTGGGCCTGACTCAGGCTGGCCTGTCATGCTCTTTCTCTCCTGGGAATCTGCAAAGGGGTCTCAGAAATCACAGACCTTGTGGCAGGTTCTAGACTACAGAGGCACATGAACAGGTCTGAGGCTGCCGCTCTGGAGCGTTGAGCTCTCGTGTGCATGGCAAAGCTGAGAAAGGTGAGTGTTTGGAGAGGAAAAGAAATGAAGCCAAAAGGCAAAGACAAACAGAAATTAAACAGGCAGCCATGGCAAGAGAAGGAAGAGGAGGAAAAGGAGACAGAGAACAGCTGCCTCAGATCCCAGTTCCTGGTTTCTAATTCCTGACACACACGTGCTCTCAGATTTCATGCCCTGCCTTTTATACCCTGTTCCTTTGAAAAAAAAAAAAAAAATTGTACCTTTCCAGTGGAGAAACCTGGCAGATAGCACCTTAACCAGGCGATCAGAGTTAATGTCACCCGTATGAGGACACGTCCACATGCTGCAATGCTCAGGACACAGCGTCACTGCATGGGGTCTTGCCAAAACCTCCATCTAACCCTGAGAAAACAGCAGTGAAACCCAAACGGAGAGATGTGCCACGAAAGCCACTGGTCTGGGTTCTTCCAGAGCATCAGGGCCGTGACAGACAGAGAAAGCCTGGGCAACCTCCCAGTCTGGGGGAGACAAGCCAGACATGACATCTAAATGTGAGTAGGATCTGGACTAGGAAAAGCACAAATGAGGCAACTGCTGAGACTGTAGTGCAGTCTACTAATAAGATAGGATCATTGTTCATTTCCAGGTTTTTATCATCCACCCACGGTTTGGTGAAAGCTGGGTAAGAGTTATATATCGAAAACCACTGTGCTGTTTTGCAACTTTTCGACAATCTAAAGTTACTTCTGAATGAAACAAGAGTCCCCTTCCTGTTTCAGCTAGTGTGATCTGGTTTCTGTTCCTCTCAAGAAATCTGGATTCAAACAGTCGCCTGTAATGGCAAATACAAGTCACACTAATGCCTGGTGCAGCCACATCTCACCCACACCAGAGTGTCCACGCATTCTAGGAAACACTTCCGAGGAATAAGGAGATTTAAAAGACCCCTTTGAGGCCCAAATCTCAAAGAAGGGTTGGAATTACATGGTGGGGGAAGTGTGTGGGGCTGTGGAGGACATAAGAGGGGCCATGTTGGAGGATGGGGTGGGAGCGCTCATGAGACAGACTATTCTCACTATTCTCTTTTGAGACAGGGTCTCACTCTCTTGCCCAGGCTGGACTGCAGTACTGCCATCAGAGCTCACCGAAGCTCTACATCCTGGGCTCAGGCAATCCCCCATACCTTAGTCTCCTCAGTAGCTGAGACCACAGGTGCATGCCACCATGCCTGGCTAATTTTTTGTAAAAATCTTTTGTAGAGATAAGGTCTAACTATGTTGCCCAGGCTTGAACTTCTGGGCTGAACTGATCCTCCCACCATGGCCTCCCAAAGTACTGGAATTATAGGCATGAGCCAATGTGCCTGTAATCTCTCACTTTTCTATGTTTGAAATCTTCCATAATAAAGAGTAAAAGAAAATATTACATATGAAGAGAATGTACCCCAGATCACTGACCCAGGAGCTCTGGGGCGGCCATCCCCTTTGGATGTGACTTCCCCAGCCCAGAATTGGGGTAGTGGCTCATGCTGATAAGTTCGAAGCTGGGTCAACTCATCAACCTCACAACAATGTTATCAGGGGGTGGGAGGGCTGCCATTATTTCCACTTTACAGAGGAGGAAACTGAGGCACACTGGCAAAGTGGCTTGTCCATAAATACCACAGCAGGATTCAAATCTACAAGGTCTGAAACACCTCCTAAAACCATGAGCCACCCCTGCCCCCCACCTCAGCCTCCTCCCTGCTGCAGGCAAGTAGTGTGCAAGCATACACACACACATGCATACACACACACACATACACACACACACACACACACACACACACACTCCAGGGCCCCTGCAAACGCCCTGTGCCTGCACAGCAACAGGCCAGCACCAGCCTGTTCTCTCTGAAGACATGGGAAAGTCAGTGTGAGCCACACAGAGACCGCTCCTTGCAGGTTTTCACTTAGCAAAGTTTTAAACTAAACAAAATGTCACTAACTGGGAAATGGGAGACCAGGTAAGTCACCTGTGATCTTTCTACCCTACAAGTGGAGTGCAATCTTTGTCTATCTCATGAAGTGATGACTTGTTTTGGTAGTGGTGGCAGAGGCGAACGGGTGGGGTGTTCTCTTAGGTGTGCATGTGTGTGTGATGAAGGCTGGATGTCTGTGTAAAGAAGGCTGTATGTTTTGAAGGCCAGAGGTCCTCTGCTGCAGCACTTCGGGAGGAGCTCCTGCCCTGGGCGTCCCTACAGCCCCCAGCCCCCGCATGACCATGAGGCCCAGGGCCCTCCAACCTTGCACAGGTCACGGATGCTCTGCAGGATTCTGCTGAATCCAGTGAAGCGATGACTGGATTATAAAACTTGACTGATGCCTATATTGACATGGCTTTTATAGCGCCACAATTTAAACCTCTCATCAGAAAGAGGGGTGTTCAGGAAAAACAGTAAGAGCCCCCTTTCTTAGGAGCTGGACAGGAACAGAGATGCCTGTGACAAGAGCCACTGCGGCATGGTGTCCAGTGCCACCCAGCACCATCCTGGCTGAGGATAATGAGACACAGACCCTCCCCAGAAGCCTGTAGTCCAGCAGAGGAGGCATGCCCAGGGCACCTCAGAGGGAGGAAGAGGCTGCCAAGAGGAGGTAGGACCTGTCCTGGGAACCAAGGAAGGAAAGGGACTTCCAGAAAGGAGAGAAGGAATGAACAAAGGGGCAGGTCCCAGAAACTGCAGGAGGGGTCAGGAGACGAAGAGAAGAGAGGGTGGCCCAGGGTTCCTCCAAGGAGCCATGTGGCAACCTGAACTTTATCCAGAGCCAGGTGATTGTTATTCCCACCTGGGCTGTTAGATTGCCTAGTTTATGTCTCCCCACTGGGCTGTGAGCCGCTGAGGGCAGGACAAAGGTAGGAGCCTGAGGCTTGCCCCATCTGGAGGGGCGAGCTCCCACCTCAGTTCTTAGGACCCCAGACACCTTTGGGTGCAAGGTCTTTTACACACACACACACACACACACACACACACACACGCACACGCAAGAAACTCATTACACACTGTCTTAAACAAACTACACCACTAGATGGTGCTAAGTGACTTTAACGAGAAATGCGACATGGGCGGTTCCCACTTTGCAATTTTAAAAAGTGACTTTCTTTACTTCCCTGTCACAGAAACTCTCAGTCCATGCAATTTACGGAGCCAGAATTACCTGTCGTTTCCTCTCGGCCTGCCCAAAGTGCTTTCTCCTGGGATCTTCGGGGTCTACGTGCACTTATTTGAAGGAGAGGCTTCCAGCTCCAAACTCAGCACTGTCCTCCCATCCTCCGCCCAGCGTCTCCCAGTCCGAGCCCGCAGAGCCACCTGCAGGGCTTGGGAAAAGGGGGCAAGCCGGCCCGCCCCAGAGCTCCTGGGTCAGTGCTCTGGGTGCCTGTGAATTTGCATTGCTGACAAGGTCCCAGATGGTGCCGCCGCTGCTAGGACGGGGACCTCGCCCTGAGGACCCCTGCTGTGGAGGGTTTAGGAAGCCTCGGACGCCCTAACCATAGGTGGAACCCGCTGCCACGGGCCAAGGGCGACCAGACGCTCTCCCGCAGCCCGCCCTTCACCGAGTCCCAGCCACAGTGTGGGCCTTGCCCAGACGTGTGCAGCCACATCTTCCTTCAGCTCTAGCTTAACCGCCACACTGGGAGGCCACCGGGGCCTTTAAACCCAGCAAAGACACAAACATTTGGAATGAGGCCCACTCCTAGGACGCAGGGGGACCTGGTAGAACTCTCTGCCTGCCCTGGGGTCCGCCCCTACCCTGTGGTTCTCAGTGTGGCTCCTGTACCATCACCGGGACACCCCAACACGCAGCCACACCCCAGATCCACTGAGTCAGGAGCTCCTGGGAGCACCCAGCCACGTCTGGGTTTTCATCAGAGCTAAGGAGGCAGAATTTTGGCCCCCGTGAACTTTGCCTCTTGTTGCGACCCTGTGAATATGTTACATGGCAAAAGGGACTTTGCAGATATAATTCAGGTTCTTAATCAGTTACCCTTTTTTAAGAAAAGGAGTGTATTCAAGATTATCCCCAATCATAGGAGCCCTAAACACAGAAGTCAGAAAAATGCATAAGTCAAAGTCAATGAGGTGAGAGGCAGGAAGAGGGTTCAGGGCAGGCTTCACGCTCCGAACATGGAAAGGCCTGAAGCCAAGGAGCACAGGTGGCCCTGACAGCCACTCCTGGACAGCAGCCAGCACAGATACAGGGTCCTCACTCCTGCCAAGAACTTGAATGAGACTGGAAGCAAATTCTCCCCTAAGAACCTCCGGACAAGGACCCAGGCTGGCCAGCATCCTTCTTTCTACCTTTCGAGACCCAGAGCAGAGAAGCCCATGGAACCCGCCCAGACTTTCTCACCTAGCAACTGCGATGATAAAGGTGCACTGTTGAAGCCCCTGCTGGTGGTGACTCATTAAGGCAGTAACAGAAAACGGACACAGCCGTGTTTCATCAGCCCCACTGCTGCTGAGTATAAGCACATCTGTCATTTTACATGAAATGATTCAGTAATATTTTTATAACTGTTTTAACATAATTAGTTCCCCCCACCTTTTTTTTTTTTTTTTTTGGAGACAGGGTCTCACTCCATTGCCCAGGCTGGAGTGCAGTGGCTCAATCATCTCAGCTCACTGCAGCCTCGACCTCCCCAGCCTCAGGCAGTCCTCCCACCTTAGCCTCCTAAGTAGCTGGAACCACAGGCGTGAACCTCTGCACCCAGCTAAGTTTTGTTTTGTTTTGTAGAGATGGGGCTGATCTTGAATTCCTGGACTCAATCAACTCACTCACCTTGGTCTCCCAAAGTGCTAGGATTACAGGCATAAGCCACCGTACCCAGCCTGGTTTCCTTTAAATTATCTGTACTTTATTTTATGCCTTCACCATCATTTTTCTGAGAAGGGGTCTCGGGTGGAAGTGGAGGAGGCGGCACAGAAGAGACGCTTGAGACCCTGCGGTAGAGATGAGTGCAGCAGAGAAAAGCCAGCAAGACCTCCTGCAGCCACTAAGGACACGAACGCGCAGCCAACCAGCATTCCATTTCTTGCTCTCAGAAACTAGGTTCATCTCTTGTGGAACTTCTTATTTTTATATTCAACAAATACACACACGTATATAGAGACAGGAACATTCTTTTTGTCCCAGAACTGGAATTTACCATCTAGACTGGGCTCCATCTTCTTTCTCAGTATCTAGGGCAGTGGTTTTGAACTTTATCACCACCGCCCCAGCAAACGCCACATTTCTCATTGCATGTCATTACACAGCAGATAAATGTGTGTGTGTGCGTCTGTGTGTACTTCAACAAATCCATATGGATATAGATAAAACAAGGGCTTCACAAAACAAATCCTCTCTTTTGCTTGCTGTATACCCTGTTATTTCTCTTTTTGTGAGCCAGAGTCTCACTCTGTTGTCCAGGCTGGAGTGCAGTGGCATGATCTCAGTTCACTGCAACCTCTGCCTCCCAGGTTCAAGCGATCCTCCTGCCTCAGCCTCCTGAGCAGCTGGGACTACAGATGCTCACCGCCACGCCCAGCTACCTCTTTGTATTTTTAGTGGAGATAGGGTTTCACTGTGTTGCCCAGGCAGGTGTCAAACTCCTGAGCTCAGGTGATCTGCCTGCCTTGACCTCCCAAAGTGCTGGGATTACAGGTGTGAGCCACCACACCCGGTTGTTATTTCTTATATTTCAGTCTAGCATTTTGTTGACTTCCTTTTCCATGCCAATCAATTCTACTGAGTTCATTTGACATCCAAAGACGAGTTGTCACTAGCTGTTTGGAAAACACTGGGCTTGTATCCACTTCCCTAGTCACATACACAGCACACACACACCACTCACTTCACACACATGTCACACATATATCACACATACACATCACACACACACCACATACACAAATACGTCCAACCCTCCTTCTGTTCTGTCAGAGTCTCAGAAGAAACCACACGTGCCCAAGTCACCTGGGTGAGGCATGTGGTCCCTGAGGCAGGGTTTGTCTCGAGAGAAGGAGTGTGAAGGATGTTACTTGGTTTCTCCTGCTGCGATCGTCAGCTCAGGGGACCACCACAGACCTGGGTTTGCTTTCCCACAGCCCCTGAGGGCTACTGCACTGTGAGTTTTGTGCGGCGTGTGCTGGGGGTGGGAATTAGGATGTGAACTCCAAGGTCCCAAAATGAGATCCTGAGCAGCCACGGAGGGCACCGGAACGCAATAAAAAGCACCACGTGTGGGTGTGGCTTCACGTTTTTTCCCATTTTGTGGGCCCTGGAAGGACGGAGAAACGCAAAACCTCCGGATGGTCAGGCTTTCTACAGAGTGCTATTCTTACATATTTTGTTCTCTTGTCCCCATGTGTACTTGTCAAACCAAATGTCAACTTACTTTTTGGTTTGCAAATGTGGTTAGAAGCCGTACAAAGGTGCAGCGTTTTAACCGAACTCTCCCCACGGAATGACCTGCTGTAGGTAATGAGAGAGAGAGAAAAAAAAAACTGGAAGGAACCAAGGAAGATGAGCCAGGAAGTCGCCAAGAAGTCAGGCCACAGGACACTGTGGGGCTTTTCTGTTTTGTTTTCAAATTAAGCTTCACTCAAAAGGTGAGGAGCGGTTAGAAATGTGAGCTTTCCACCAACACGTTTCTAAAGAGGCAAACACCGACACAACCGCTCTTTCCAGGTCGTAATCAAATTCCAAAGGAGAAATGTTATCATGAGAAAAAGACAGAAGCACAGCTTTGAACGAGTAGAGGATAAAAAAACGTCCATTTCTTCTTATTCTTACCAAGCTTCACCTGGGCAAAATGACTGCATGAGGTAGACACTAGGCGAGCAAAGCCTCCGTGGGGAAGGCATGACTCAAAGGATTCCCGAGAGGCACCTCTGAGTGTGGTGCCTGTGCCCACTGGCTCAGGACCCTGCCAGGTTACGGGGTGCAAGTCCTGTGTCCTGGAAAACCCCACAATCCAGGGAAGAGCAGGGCGCTTGGTCACCCACTCGGAACGCCCCGTTATGTTCAGAGCACAGGACATGTTCAGCGTGTGACAGCTCCGCAAGCCGAGTGCGTGTGCCTGCACGTGATGCCTCCATAAAACGTGTGGGAAGCCCCAGTGCACATGGGGCAGCCTCGAGCATACCTGGGCCTGCAGCTCCACTCTCTGTGCCTGCAGGTGGGAGAGCACCTCCCGGCCCTCTTCCAGCTGACTTCGCAGGGCAGCCACCTCCCGCTCCGTCAGGAGCTTCTCCTGCACAGAGAAGGCCAGAGTCAGACTCACAGGACATTCAGAGAGGAAAAGGGCAGAGACGGTGTGGGGCCCTGGTGTGGATGGCATGCCCGTGTCCACCTGAATTCTGTGTTGAAGCCCCTGAATTCTGTGTTTTAGGAAGTGGGACCTCTGGAAGGTGTGAGGTTTAGATGAGGTCATAAGGATGGGGGCCCCATGATGTGATTAATGGATTGGCGTCTTTGTAAGAATAAGAAGAGACACTAGTGCCCCCACCTCCACCCGCTTTGTGTCTGTCATATGAGACACAGCAAGAAGGTAGCTGTCTTCAAGCTAGAAAGAGAGCCTTCACCAGACACTGATTCTGCCAGCACCTTGATGTTGGACTTCCAGCACCCAGGACAGTGAGAAGTTAATGTCTGCCTGTCGGCCCCCACCTATAGTAGCTTGAGAAGACTAAGCCAGGCCCACAGCACAGCCATCAATGCCTTTTGCTTTGTCTTCAAAGTCTGAACCTCCTTGGGAGTGTGAAACGCTGGGATCAAGTACCAGGAGACCTGGCTATGCCACGAACCTGCTAAAAGACTCTAAAAAAGGCATTTGACTCTCAAACCCTCTGTTTTTCCTTCTGTAAAAAGGAAAACCTAGAATGCAGACTCCCATTCAGTTCTATGTGCTGTGTCTAAGAAGATAAAGGTCATGCAGAGCCGCTGGCCACGTGCTGTGCTCAGACATCAGCGCAGCACAAAGCAGGAGTCATACCCCAGTGGGTGAAAGGGAAGCAGCACTCTGGAGAATGGCTGGAAGGAAATCCTCCGACCTCTCCACACTCTGCCAAGCAGGTGCCTGTCTCCTGACCTGCCTTTCCAAGTCTATTCAAAAATACTCAGATTGTTTCACAAAGGCCTGACTGCTCAACAGCTGTGAGTTCTGACACAGAGCACATTGACTCGAAGCCCACAGAATCAAACACCAAGTCTACACCAAGGGTTCCTGTGTCCAAGCTCGTGAATGGAAGGCGGCCTCTGTTTCAAATGCCTTATAAAGTGGCTGCAGCAACGACACAGACACACAGGAAGTGGGGGCAAGACAAACATGCAGGAAGTATGGGTCAGTCTCTGCCCTGACCACGTGGAGAAGGTGCAACTCAGGCCATACTGCAGGGGCCTCCTCCATGGTCTCTGGCACCTCCTGTGTTTCTCGGAGCAAGGAGCCATACATTTCTCTCCATCTCTTTCTGCCTCCCTCCCCCTTCTCTCTCCTTCTCTCTCTCTCTCCCTTCCACTCTGCTTCTCAGTCTCTGTATCTCAGTCCCTGCCTCAAAGCTACAGATAAGGAGGCGGCTGATCCCTGGGGATCAGATTTGAAAATACGCTATGCTCTGCAAATTCTAGACCTGCAGGATGCCAGTAGACACAGTGCAGATCCACAACCCCAGTCTAACCTGATTGTAGAATTCCTTAGCTAAGCCTCATAAAGATATGATGCTTTCTCAATCGGTGCTTCTCCATCCTAAGCATGCACATGAGTCCCTGTGGATCTGGCTAAGATGTAGATTCTGGCCCAGTGGGACTGAGCCTGGGCTGGATGCTCTGCACGTGTCACAAGCCCAGGTGATGACATCCGAGTCAGCCCCATGTCTGTCTACTTATGACTTAGAAGGATCTTATTGCAAGGTAATAGATGATCCAATTCAAAAGGTATGCTAGGATGTAAAACACCTTTTAGATACAGGACAAAAGTGGGTTTAAAAAATAAAAATAACATCTCTGGAGACGGATATCTGGCAAAGAAAATTAAAGCTTCAGGAAAAGCTTTTTTAGGCCTTTGTAGCAACTTCGATTACATCCACTAAGGAGAACAGGATCCCGAAATGGCAATCGATGGGCAATTCGAACAAGAATACCCTCATGAATGCCAAAATAAATAAATAAATAAATAACTTTCCTGTCTCTTAGATGATACTTTGCAGGGTTCGAAAGTGTCTCCTGGCCGGGCACGGTGGCTCACGCCTGTAATCCCAGCACTTTGGGAGGCCAAGGCAGGCAGATCACGAGGTCAAGAGATGAAGACCATCCTGGCCAACATGGTGAAACCCCATCTCTACTAAAAATACAAAAATTGGCCGGGCATGGTGGCACGCGCCTGTGGTCCCAGCTACTCAGGAGGTTGAGGTAGAAGAATCGCTTGAACCCAGGAGGTGGAGGTTGCAGTGAGCTGAGATTGCGCCACTGCACTCCAGCCTGGCGCGAGCGAAACTCCGTCTCAAAAAAAAAAAAAAAAAAAGTGTCTCCTAAAGCAAATTTGGGGATTTCTTTAGCTCTGTATAAAACAATTAAGATAAAAAAGTTCAGGCAGCCAGTGACCCCAGCCCATGAGTTCTGCAGCAGCTTCCCTGCATGCTGCTCCTGGGCAGGCCCCAACTCCCAGGAAGCCCATTCACTGACTCAGAGCATGGCCTGAGCATACATCTAGGCAATTGCATATATCACCAGGGTTCAGAGCCACCATCCTAGGTCATCCTTGCAAAAAGACCCAGAACCTTATTTCTTGACCAATCCACCAAACGCTGTACTAGCCTACCAAAACCTCTGGAGAAGGGAAACTGTAACATTTTTATTTTAATTTGCATCATTCCCAGTGTTTGTGGTGTTTTTGTTTCTTGTTTGTTTGTTTGTTTGTTTGTTTAGAGATGGGGTCTTGCTATGTTGTCCAGGCTAGTCTTGAACTCCTAGCCTCCAGTGATTCTCCCACCTCAGCATCATGAGTAGTTAGGATTACAGGCATGAGCCACTTCACTCAGCGTCAGTATATATATATATGTATGTATGTGTGTGTGTGTATATACATATATATATATATACTGATATAAATATATATCATGCTCTGCATCACAAAATTCCATAAACCACATTAGAAAAAAAGTATTATCCTGCTGAGCAGAGAACTAAATGAAGTAGGAATCTGGAACCTCATATCAGAAATAATGTTTCATATCCAAATCTTTAGTTTTTACAAATCAGCTTCAACAATCTCCATCCTTTTCCACTAGTTTCCATGCCACAGGCTCACCTGATCATTAGCAGAGCTCTGTCTTGAAAATATTTTCACTAATTATCTGAGATTCTCTGCATTTGAAATTCATTATCAGATTGATAGGGAGAACAAGGAAACAACCAATTTTTTTAATGGGCAAGAGACTTGAGCGGATATTTCCACAAAGAAGCTATGAGGGTGGCAGATGAGTGCACAAAAGGATGCTCAGCTTCCTTAGTCATTGGGGGATGCAAATGAAAACCACCACCATTACAAGAGCAAAGACACATGAAAAAGCTGACATACCAAGTTCTGGCAAGGACAGGGAGCCACAGAAACCCTCACGCATTGCGGGTGGAGATGCAACAATGGCACACCGCTTTGCAAAGCAGGTTGGTCATTTCTTATAAAGTATGCAAGAAAGAACAGCTCCTAATTCTCAAGAGAAAACACCAAAGAAAATGGTCAAGGACACAGTTTACGTCCTCACATGTCTGAACATTGGCATTCACAGTATGAGTAAAAGATCAGAAGAACAAACTTCAGATGAGGATACAAGGCAGGAGTGGGGAGTGGACCCCCGGTGGCTGCCCTCCCAGTCCAACCTGTGAGCCCTCCCCTGGGAGTCTCCAGATACAGCTTCTCCAGGGCTGGTTTGCCTTTTTGTGTTCCAATTCTTACCTCCCTCATCCCGCTCGTCACGATGGATGCTGGAGGAACGGTGTGGATGATCTGCTGCAGGATGCTGATATAGGTCTGAACTTCCAGAAGATTCTGTAGGGGAGGGAAAGCATTCTCATTGTAAGTTGAGCCATGCTGTTTTTCCTTCTAGTACTAGATGAGCACAGGAATGGACACTTCCACACACTTCACCTTCACAGACAGGACAGACCACAACCAGGTTCAGGAAGTAGAAGAGTGTGGCGCGTGTGCTGCCGTGGTGGGCCTGCCTGCCCACATGTTTCCACCATGTAGAGGGCATTTCATGTCTCCTTTAATCCTCACAAGAACAACAGGGCAGATGAATAAACTAAGGCCTGCTTTATTTCACTATTTCTCTTCAGTTACATGGGTGCTTTGCTGCATCTTTCACAGAGCCCATGGTGGCAGAGGCACAAAAAAATTAAAAAAAATCCCCCCACCAGACATGGTGGCTCATACCTGTAATCCCAGCACCTTGGGAGGCCAAGGTGGGTGGATCACTTGAGCCCAGGAGTTGGAGACCAGCCTAGCCAACATAGTGGGACCCCATTTCTACAAAAATTTTAAAAATTAACTATGTGTTGCAGTGTGCAACTGTGGTCCCAGCTACTTAGGAGGCCGATGTAGGAGGATCACTTGAGCCAGGGGTGGGTGGAAGGAGCAGCAAGCTGTGATCACACCACTGTACTCTAGCCTGATTGATAGAATGAGCCCCCATGTCACAAATAAATTAATTAAAAGGCCCTGGAGGGCACAAAGTACCCTTTCCAACACCAGGAGTGTTTCAAAGAAGGGGCTTTGGTCAATCAGGCCTGGACTAAAAGATTTACTAGGTATGACCTCAGGCAAGCTATTTAAACCTCCCCTAAAATGCAAGATCTTCTATAAAACAGGGATAACTACCTGTAGGGATGCCTCATCCCCTTTACCAGCCAGTGACCCTGTCCCCAGCTCTGTGAGTAATGACAAATAACACAGCACTGTCCAGAAAACAGCCCTTGGCCAACAAATGGTTATCTTGTCCAGAAAGCCACCAGGCAAATTCTAAACCTGCAGGATGGCAGTAGACTCCCTGATCCCAGTGGCCCTGCCTCATCCCCAACCCAGGCCAATTTCTTACGGCACGGGAGTACAAAAGACCAACTCTCTGACTCCTTGTGGTGTAATTCACATTCACACTCCAGAGTTTCCATGGGATCATGAGAAGACCACAGCTGGACTCCAACTGAGGACACATCCTTGCTCTGCTCCCTGCCCTGTCCTGCCCTTTTCCTCCCCTTCTCCTCTGAGCCCTCCACTAAGACATCAATGACAAAAAATCACTGCCTAGAGCTCTGCTAATAGGGAGCCTGACCTGAGCACTATTTCACAAGGCTGCTCTTGGGATCTGCTGAGATACTGCAGGAGAGCCTCACAGTGTGAGCCATCATCCTCACCATCATCATCACCATCATCATCATCACCATCATCATCCTCACCATCCTCACCATCCCCATCACCCTAACCATCATCATCCTCACCATTGTCATCACCATCGTCATCACCATCACCACCATCCTCACCATCATCACCATCATCCTCACCATGCTCACCATCATCATCATCCTCACCATCATCACCATCCTCACCATCATCACCATCATCATCATCCTCACCATCATCATGCTCACCATCATCATCATCCTCACCATCATCACCATCCTCACCATCATCACCATCATCATCATCATCCTCACCATCATCATCTCCATCATCCTCACCATCCTCACCATCATCATCATCCTCACCATCATCATCACAATCATCGACATCCTCACCATCATCATCACCATCATCTTCACCATCATCCTCATGATCATCATCACCATCACCAACATCATCATCATATCATCATCCTAAATGGCCTGGAAGAATTATTTGGGCTGCTTCAAAACTGCTCCCAGGCACTACTCCCAGGATTCCATCAAGTAGAGCAGAAGCAACAAGGTAGGTGGGGAGGAGAAATGGCTGGGCCTGATGGAAAGCTGGAGGGACCCCGATGGGAGCAGACAGGCCTGGTGTACTGACACAGATACTCACTGAGGTAGGAAGGGAATTGGAGGTTCACTAAGCGCTTACCTGTCTTCCCACATTGTCTTAATTTGGGTTTCCCCAGAAGCAGACCCTGGGAGAGGGATCTGAGTGTAAACAGTTGACTGGGCAATGATGTCAGGAAACATGATGGGTGGGGTGGGAAAGAAAGGCAGGAAGGGAGGGCAGTCAGCAAGGGCTATTACCAAAGGGTCGCTACTGTGGGCATCTGGAGTTCAGTCCTGGTGAGGATCTCTGCGTGCCAGTGCAGAACAAAAGCCTCAGAGTTGGTCTACAAAGGCGAGAGGGAGCTAGGGTGTTTATATACCAACTCCCAACAGTTCCAGCTGAGAGTGCTCCCTGCTCCCAGTGACAGGAATTCCCCAATACCCTGCCTATAGGCAGAGCAGCCTGCAGCTGCTTGGAGAAGTCCTCAGGCAAAGCTGCAGACACAGCAGTGGAAGGAGGCCAGAGCTCCTGGAAAGGAAAGTCCTGGGGCCCCAGGGATCTTCACTAGATCACCCACATCATTGCTGGGAAGGAGAGCCTGCACTTACACTTCAAAGCAGCTCAGGGAGGTCAGGCCACTAGATCACCCACACCACTGCCAGGAAGGAGAGCCTGCACTTACACTTTAAAGCAGCTCAGGGAGTCAGACCACTAGATCACCCACACCACTGCCAGGTAGGAGAGCCTGCACTTACACTTCAAAGCAGCTCAGGGAGGTCAGGCCACTAGATCACCCACACCACTGCCAGGAAGGAGAGCCTGCACTTACATTTTAAAGCAGCTCAGGGAGGTCAGGCCACTCACCCATGGTCAAACAGCTGCAGGATCTGATCTTTCAATTATGCCAGTGCCCCCCAAAGTCAGGCCTGTGAGGAACTGCTGGAGGCTGGGGGAGTCTGAGCACTGCAGAAAAGGAAGCTCCTGAATAATGTGCTCCTGCCATTAACCGGCTCAGAGGCGAGAGCGAAAAACAAGACTTTTTAATGTATTTTCTGAGTGGAAATAGTTGATGGACTGCAGTTTAATGAAAACAGATCTATATAAAATCACTTTGTAAATTATACTGTACAACGTAGATACTAGTTCCCAACACCACAGCCTTCAAAACACACCCACTACTGCCCACTCTTCAAAGCTCGGCTAGAGTTCATTAAGCCCTATCCAGCGACCAATTCATCCCTATTTGGTTCAAGGGAAAATGCACAAAGGTAGGCCACTCTCACGGTCTCCATTTTCAGCCACAGTGCCCTGGGCTTACCTGACCGAACCCAAACTGGGTTTTCTAGAGGAAAGGCCTCAAGGGGTCATGGTTACCTTCTTGTGCCTGTCCTTTGCCGCGCTGATATCATCTTGCAGAAACTGGGCTTCCAGCTGAAGGCGCAGGTTATGCAGCAAGGCTTCATCAGCTTCCTGCAATGAGAGCCACACATCCCTGGCCACAGGCACCATGAAGCACGGGGTAAAGCTGGTGAGCATATGAGCACACAGACCACCTGGGGGCTTAGTGAAATGCAGACTCTGCTTCAGTAGGTCTGGGATGGGTCCAAGATTATGCATTTTATCAAGGCAATGGCTTAGCCCATTGGACCTGTTCTAGAATAGCAATTCTCAGCAGAGGGTGATTTTGCCCCCAAGGGGACATTTGGCAGTGTCTGGACACATTTTTAAACATCACCACCTGAGTGGTGGGGTCCTTCCACTGGCAACTTCTGGGTAAAGGCCAGGGACGCTGCTAAATACCCTACAATACACAGGACAGCAGCCCCCCACAACCCTGCACATGAGGAATCCTCCTGCCTAAAGTGTCAATAAGGCCAGGGGTAAGTAACCTTGAACTAGAAAGATCAGAGTGCCAGGGTGCATTTGCATACCAAATAACCTTAATATTTAAGTAACCTCTATATTTGTTCTATAGCTTATCATCAGTGAGTTGGGTTTCTAAGACTGAAAGAAAGAAAATCCTTTTCCCTTAAATCCTGAAATCTGTATTCTAATAGTTTTTTCCCAAGGACTGTTAACATTTCCCTTGAGAGGATGCATCTTTAATACAAACATGTGTTTTTTAGAATGACTGTTTTGTGAATAGCATTTGTTTGTTCCTCTAAGGATGGAAATTACATTTATCACAAAAGGCTGGATTTTCTCAGGAAACTTTCTGATAATTCACTGGTTCTTACCTCATTGATCTTGCTTGAATACACCAAATAGGTATGAAAGAATTGTTCATGCTCTTAACAAGATTGTGCTATGATGTCCAGAAGTGACTCATATACTTCAGTACCTTCACTGTGAGCATTACGTGGGTTCATCAGGATTCCCCATTCTCCCAAGATACCTCTGCCATGCACACCTGCCAACACCTGAGGCCTTGGGAAGCGGATTTTTACTGACTCATTAGTGACTTGCTAATAAACATAATGAATATTAGCAATGGGCTCTCATTAATCAAGGGGGACATGTAGTTTGGCTAAAACATGTGAGAGACACTCCCCACACTCGGATAAACAGAGTACGACAGTCACGATATGTGGACTGGCCATGAGATGTAGACGCTCCCCACCCTGTGCTACTAGGGTTTCGGTTCTTGCAAGGCCTTGAGACTGTACTCTTAAAAAAGGCACTTGGGGCCGGGCGCGGTGGCTCACGCCTGTAATCCCAGCACTTTGGGAGGCGGATCATGAGGTCAAGAGATTGAGACCATCCTGGCCAACATGGTGAAACCCCGTCTCTACTAAAAATACAAAAAATAGCCAGGCGTGGTGGCGTGTGCCTGTGGTCCCAGCTACTAGGGAGGCTAAGGCGGAAGAATTGCTTGAATCCAGGAGGTGGAGGTTGCAGTGAGCCAAGATTGTGCCACTGCACTCCAGCCTGGCTACAGAGCAAGACGAAAGAAAGAAAGAAAGAAAGAAAGAAAGAGAGAGAGAGAGAGAGAGAGAGAGAGAGAGAGAGAGAGAGAGAGAGAGAGAGAGAAGGGAGGGAGGGAGGGAGGGAGGGAGGGAGGGAGGGAAGAAAGGCACTTGGGGCTAGGTGCAGTGGCTCACGCCTGTAATCCCAGCACTTTGGGAGGCAGAGGTGGGTAGATCACCTGAAGTCGGGAGACCAGCCTGACCAACATGGAGAAACCCCGTCTCTACTAAAAATACAAAATTAGCTGGGTGTGGTGGCACATGCCTGTAATCCCAGCTACTCAGGAGGCTAAGACAGAAGAATCACTTGAAACTAGGAGGTGAAAGTTGCAGTGAGCCAAGAATGCGCTACTGCACTCCAGCCTGGATGACAAGAGTAAAACTCTGTCATACACACACACACACACACACACACACACACACACACACAAAGGCACTTGGTTGCTTAACTGCTCTTGTGAAAGACCACTGCTGTAGCAAGATTTCTAATTGTCTGATGCTGCAGTAAAGATCCTGAAATTCTGACTCTATTGTAGCCTCTGCCTTGAATGAGCTTTCCATGAAAGGTGATCTCTTAGCACCTCCGACACCAGAGTTGAGACTTCAAGGAGCCTACAGAGCAGGTTGTATGGGCCTGTATCACAATAAATGTTAATATTTAACAAATCTCTCTCTGTGAATTTGTTCTGAAGCATTAGCAAGATTGTAGAGAGTGGCCAACCCTCATCCAACTCAAACTGCTGAAGCTCTTTGATCTACCCAGGAGAACAGATGATTTTATCTTACAGAACTTATGAGCTGTGCTAGATCAAATTAGTCAGTCTGCAACCCCTAGGAATGTAACTTAAAACATTTCCTTCTGCGCTTCCTCCTGCCTCAGCCTCCCACGTATCTTGGACTACAGGCACGCACCACCACACTTAGTTAATGATTACAGGCGTGAGCCTCCATGCCTGGCCATTTGTATTTTTAGTAGAGACAGGGTTTCACCATGTTGGCCAAGCTGGTTTTGAACATCTGACCTCAGGTAATCCACCCACTTTGGCCTCCCAAAGTGCTGGGATTACAGATGTGAGCCACCATGCCTGGCCAATTTTAAACTTTCTGGAAGTAGCCTTAGTAAATAAAATAAAAAGAAACAGGTGAAATTAATTTTAATAATATATTTTATTGTGCCCAGTATACCCAAAATATTGTGTTGTCATGTAATCAATAAATTAATAGTGGTATCTCTTCCATTCTTGTTTTCAGATGAGGTCTTTGAAACTGCTGTGTATTGTACACTCATAACACATCTCAATTCGAACTCCCCACATTGCAGGTGCTCCACAGTCATGTGTGGCTGGTGGCCGCCATGCTGCATGGCACTGCTCTATGGGAGCAATTTTCAGCAATGGGAGATCTTGCTCCTCCTCAGTGCTCCTCCAGGTTTCTGTTCCAGGGTGCATTCCCAGGTAAGGAAACCTCGACAGAAGGGGGAAGGACACCAGTGTCCAAAGGTGTTCCTCACCCTGGCCCCTGGACTCTCCTACCTGCTCCCTCCAAGTCTCCTCCTGATTCCTGGCCCTGGCACTGGGCCCCTGCTGCCACCAGCACCGCTGTCCACTGAGAGAAGCAAGAGCTCATGGGAAATCCGCTCCCTTCAATAAATCTACATATGGTCTGAAGTTTTTAAAGTTTTTTTGTTTTAAATCAGAAATAAAAGAATGTACCAAATTACAAAAAGGGACACATTTTTCCAGATCCAGGACACTGAACTGTTCAAACTACAAGAATATGAACTCTAACTATGGGACTTAGCTTCTGAGTTCATTCATGTGTTTAATTAATTAGCCATTGACCTTTAACAAGCTCTGCCTTCAGGGGGTTACCATTCTGGGCCCTTAATGATGGGTCCTCACATCCTGTGACCCAGGGATAGTGAGGAAGGGTCCAATGAAAACTCAGCTGCAGGGTTGCTTTTTCCAAAAGGCATGTGCTGCTCAGCCTGGGGACATCAGGCCCAGACTGATGCACTACTGCAAATCCGGGTGTTCCTACCCCAGGGGAAGTGAGCCCCCTTGGAGATCCTGGTGCCTGGCCTTCTGAATTACCCAGAAGTATTTCACAAGCCTGGTGAAGCCCTTTCATTAGAGAAATGGTGGAAAAGGAAGCCTGAATCTTTCCAGCAACAGAAAAGGGTGGAGGAACCACAAAGACCCTAGGTAATTTGTAAAATACAAAAAACCAGCCAGACCTCAGGAAAAACGGAAACCAGGGCAGTCCCAGGGATCTACGTAGCAGGAGACTCTTTGTCCTCAGAGTGACCCAGCTCTGAATCAGTTCATCCTGCATCCCTCCACCAGGAGAGCTGTGATTGGCCAATACCGGCCACTTGACCACCATCTTGCCTGACAGCTGGACCACATGATGGGAAGGAAACTCACAGTGTTGGGGATGCATCCCTATTCCCTTCAGAGGCAGTGGTTCCCCGTGGAGTGATTCTCAGCCCCGGGGACAGGACCACACCCTCAGAGAGGCCTGGCTAAATCTGGGCCTGAGGTGCAGAGGTATTGGGTGGATGTTCTGTCTTCCCTCCACCCCTTTTAAGACTGCTAAGGTTCTGACCTTTCAAAAGGGGAAAAATAAAAAATAAAATAAAATAAAAAGACTGCTGAAGATGGGGTGGGACACAGAATTCTCAATCGTTCTTACCAAAATGCATCCACGATTGAGCCACGAAGCTGAAGGACAGGAAATAGGGCTTCAAAAACCCTTTGTGTGGTTATTTATAAGAAATCAAACATTCCAAATTTTAGAAATAGAGGGGACCCTAGGGGTCACTAACTTTTGTTAGTCCACTGGTCCTCTAACATGTGCCGTCCTTTGAACAAAGCAGTCCATGGAAGCCAGTACATTGAAGCAAAGCCAAGAGGCCACCATGCCCAGCTGCCCTCTTCCCTCAGAGACCCTTCAAGCAACTCCATGCAATGTAAGGGCTCTGCCAAATGCACCTTGAGGTCCAGAGCCTCCCTCCAGAGATGCAGGGCTGAGGCCAGACTGATGCAGTACGTCACTGAGCTCTTGAATGGAAGTTAGTGGAAGACAACAGGGCTGGACGCTGCCATGGGCTTCTCTCTACTAGCCAAGAGCTGAGTGCTGAGCCCTGACTCAATCCTTCCAGGCGCCTGTCATTCTTCCCCACCTCCCTCTTAGATCATGCCAAAACCACCAGCACTGGGTCCCATCAGTTAAATCTTTAAAACTGCTCATAGTGATAGTAAAAGGTCAGTATTTTTTCTTAATATAGGGATTAAGCAGATTTTTTTGCAAGCACACTGTCCTGCTTTGAAGATAATCACCTGATAAGCTGACCCCAAAACCCCCAAAGGTGAATAGGGGCCACTGGAATGTACAGCTGCTGATATATTGAGGAAAATTTGTTTTGGAAGTGTTTTCTTTTGTTTGCACCAGAACTCAGAAATGTGTAGACGCTGTGTTTTTATTAGGCTGTGGATGTTGTCAGCTGAATTTTCAAAAGCTTCACCAGCAGAATCATCTAGATTTTTCTGAATTGAGATTATGGGTCAATAGTCTAATTTTGCAAAACATTCCAGCCCTGATATTGTCTATGTCCTAAATCTAGAACAGTCGTTCTCAAAGTGTGGTCCCTGGATCACAACACCTGGGAACGGATCCAAAATGCAAATACTCCAGCAGGTGCCAGACCTACTGGCTTCGGATTTCTAGGGCTGGGGCCCAGGAGTCTGGGTTTTAACGTGGCTCCACCTCACCCCAGGTAACACTGATGCACACTGAAGTTTTAGAACCACTAATGTAGACTATTTACAGCCATGTGTTTAGAAAGGAGCTGGAAAAATAAGTAGAATTTGGAGCATTATAGAAAAATCAGTCCTTTTAACTCAAATGGCTGAGATTAAAAAGGGGGAAAAAAACAGCCTTGCTGACCTATTCACAGGGATCCCAGAACTCCAGCAAAAACCCAACTGCTACAGAATGGGTATTAAAGGTCATTAAGATTTCTAGTTATCTGGTATTCAGGTTGTTCTTCCAGGTGCTAATGCTGGCCTGAAGGAGGGCACTGGGCAAGTTCTACATCTCACCACCCTCTCTCTTGCCTCTGCCTTAGTTTCCCCAACTCTGCTCTCTCTCCCTTTGCATTCATCCTGACTCTTCCTCTGCTCCCCTTGCCTCTCCACCCCCAGCCTCCTCCTCTTCCTTCCCAGTTTTCTCTCCTCCTCTTCTCTGGAAGTTCATTTCTGGGCTCAGAGGAATTCTTGGGCATACGAAGGCATAGCCCTGAAGATAGGGCTTCATGCCCGCACTCCCCTACACTCCCTGGCATCTTGCTGCTTTCCACAGGCACGTTTAAGAGACAAATGAATTACATGAAAAAGCACACGTCAGCCTTTAAATATTTTTTAACTTGTTTTTAAGCAAAAGCATTTGACTAGAAGTCACATCATTTTAAAATTCTGGGGATTTTTAAAGAAGAAAGGAGAGGGAGATTTTAAAGTCTGCTGCTGACAGTTTCCTAGATAAGCAAATCAGGCATCATAGCAGACCAGTAACCTCATATGTCTATATTTGGTGACTGTGAGTTCTAGCAAACCTGAATGTTTTAAAGTCGTCTGCAATTCCTACTACATCAAAAGGCTGAGAAGTTGAATAACTTTGGCCATAGGTTGTGGGTAACGTGTTTAGGAGTTTATTTCACTTCCAAGTGTAATCTGGCTGATAAAACTACAGGAGCTCTTTCTGGAGGCTAGATTACACAGGCAGCATGAAGAGATGCACGGTGGTTTTGTGAAAGCAGGGGCCATCCGTCCTTTCACATACACTGCGACATCTTCCAAGTAGGATGCAAAGACTGGGTCAGTGATGTGCCATGGCGGCACCCAGGGATGCATTCCTTGCACAAGTGAGGCCAACAGAAATGGGCGCTGAGACTGAGTGGAGAGCTAAGACCAGTTTATCTGATGTAAGAAAACAGCCAAAGATCCGGAGGCCAAAATCACTCACACGACCAGCTGACACAATGTAAATTTCAGTGTCTTTCATGTCATCTGATGATCTCAGCAGACACAGAACAAAAGGGTCCACTGTTCTCCTGGCCCTGCCCTTGAGGGACTATCTGGGTTCTCCAGAAGTGGACCCCAAGGCAAAGACTGGGTACCTGTTGCTTATTTGGGAGGCTATCCCAGGAAGCACAGGTAGGGGAGGGCAGTGAGCCAGGGAAGGGAACAAAATCAGTGAAGGAGTGTGATGAGCAGGTTGCCATGGTAGACAGCTCAGTCCTGCTGGGGACCGTCTAAGGGACGATGCGGAACACGGCTCTGAACAATTGCTATGAGGGGTGGGGAACTTATCCACCTACCCCTGTCCACAGCAACTGAGGGTTGTTCCTGGGGTGTCAATGCCCAGTGTTTCTGGACTGTCCTTATGTGGGCCATGCTTGTTCCCAGAGCCCGAGAGATGCAGGCAATTATCATCGTGTTCAGCATGTCTGAGTGACCATCGGGGTGGCCCAGGGCATGTGGACAGGACACCAACATCAAGGTCCATGGGGCCAGCTATAGCTGAGAAGTCTCTGGCTTTGTGTCTGGCCTCCAAGTGATTCCCTGACTATTCTTCAGAGGTAGAGAATGAACCACAAACACAAAAGACCCCAACTCCTGTCTACCCTTACCACGGCTGAGCTGCGAGGCTCTGAAGTCATTTAACCTCACCAAGGGTGAATGTCCTCACTGGCCCAGAGAAGGATTTGGACTAGGTCATTTCTGAGGATAAAACCTGCCCCACCAAAAACCACAGGCTGTTCTGAGGCCGCCACAGGCTCACACAAGGCCCTCCGCGGCTCCCCGCATCTGCCTGCTGTGTTCGTGATTTCTACTACTGGCCAAGAACCACCTACATCTTATTCACTCTGTCTTTTTCTTTAAATGTACTCATTTTTACCTAGATTTACTTGGAAAGGAACATTTTATGTCACCCACTGTAAACAACAGGTAGCCATAAAAAATTCACAACAATTAAATAGCACTCCTCCATGCACTTTCTAAAGTCACCTCCCATTTCACCAGGGTTCTGCACCCACACTGTGGAGAAAATCAAGCTCCTGTCTGTCGCATCAAGTGCTCTGTAATAACGACAGTGACCAGGGATTGAGCACCACCAGGTGACAGGCAAGTCATACACATTATTACATCATTTAGTTCTCACCAGTCAGGTTGACTTTCACTCCTGTGGTGGGTGAGGAATATTGTGGTTCCATTTCACAGGGGAAGAAGCCAAGGCTCAGAGGGACGAGGCAATTGGCCTACAGTCTCACAGATGCTCAGCAGTAGCTGGGGTTCCTCGTCCCAAACTACACTCCTCTTTGGGGCTGTGCAGCTCACTGTGAGCTGTACTGTCTTACCTGGACCTAGGAGCCAGTCATGCCAATTCCCTGTGCTGGCCACGCCCATGTCCCTGGTAGCATCTTCCCCCAGAACCTTCATCATATTCTTATGGGGCTGATACTTCAAATGTCCGCATTCTATGTCACGATATCTATGAAGGTGGACTATGTGATGCCTTTTCCTTATTTCTCGTTATGTTGCCTTATTTTTTCTATTGAGAATATGTATTGCTTTTGTAAAAAGAGGAAAACAAGAGAAAGTTTAAGCTTGTTTTTTTGAATTCACTGTTATTTTCCATCACGGGTAAAAGAGAAACCCCAATCTTTCTCCCCTTTCTTTGAAGAGTACCTAGGATGACACTGCGTGAGTGACAAATGAAGAGAAAGCCCCTCATGCAGGGATGACAGATGCTCACAAAGTACCATGTGGAAGTGTTGGGGACAGGGTCTGGGAGGGCCTGAGTGACTGGCAGCCCGAGGTTGCCACCCAACACAAGAATGGGGACAAGCTACAGGTGCCAGTAGAATAGCAAGGTGATGTCGGATATTAACAAGGCCCAACTCCCAGCTCAGATGTCCGACAGGCTGGAGGCTGTCGTTCTCCACCCACTATTGAGTCTGTGTCTTCGGATCCTTACTGAAGCGCATTCTTACTGCCATCTCTCTGTTTTACCTAGGCTGCCCATGTGTCCCACTAGCTGGCTTGAGACAGTCCCAGTCTGCATTGACTGACCTGTGTAATTATGGGCAGCACCCTCTTTTGCACACTGTCCTGGTTTGAACACACAATGCGTGCTCACACGCAGATAACACAGACAGTTAACACAGACAAAGCAAAACTGGGTTTCCCCAGATTCTACTTCTGATTTTCCCCTCAATCAGCAGAGTAATCCTAGACAGCAAAGGCCGGACAAAGCAAAGGGATGGCAGACATCCGGCACTAACCCTGACTGTCCAAAGTAGCTGCCTGGAGTTCCACGTGGCAAAGAAGCCTAAAGCATACCTAGGCATGACAGGGAAGAGTCTGTGGCTTTGTCAGCAATTTTGATGAGTTGTAGGCATGGAAGGGGCAGGGAAGGGCAGACATGTGACCTAATTAAGCAGCCCTTCCACGAAATAGTCTCCATGGGTCATTCCACTCTGACATTCGAGCTCAGAAATGATCAGAAAAGGGCCAGGCTTAAAGTTATCTGCCATCCCTGGTTCTGACCCACCCTGGTGGTCCAGAATCATTCTGCTTTTTGGTGGTGAGATTCTCCTGGCAAAAGCAGAAAACGCAATCAGTTAGTTAGAATGATGATGGAGAATCCCAAGAAGGAAATTACCCCTGTTCTGCAAAGAACAACTCCACACAACCCTGCAGGAAGGTCAAGTGGCTATGAACCCTGGCACCTCCCCTGGGGCTGTTGGTCATGTATAAATGGGAGTTCTAAAAAAAGTTGAAATTTCTTCCTCTGTTCTCTTGAGACTTCTCCTGTGGAGCAGCAATCTCGAAACTCTTAGCCAACAGGACAGAGATATCACCGTGTCCAAATAACCACTTCCCAATGCAAGATCATTCCTAAATTTGGTGTTGGGGATCAGTACCTCTGACAGGTAAAATAGCAGCTTGTCATTGTGATGCTGGCAGCTTTTGCCAGCCTAGCATAGCCAACAAGCTTCATAAGTCTGTGTTTCCCTCATGCGAGGGGGGTGTGTGTTTAGGTGTGTGAGTTCACTCACAAAGACTCAGTTGAAATTAAGAAGTCAGGAAAGAGCAACTGCAAAAGAAGTAGTGACCGCTAAAGCAACACAGAGAAGAAGCATGTGAAACATGCCTTTCCGCCATTCGGTTCAACCCTGCGATTAAGCTACAAAACCCAGTGATGCATCCACTCACCTTGTTCAGCCGCTCAAGCATTTCTTTTAGCAGCAGTTGACACTCACACTCATTTTCATACCTGCAAATTGGACACATAAGTGAGAGTTGGGTGGTTACCACGCCTTGGTAGGTATGGATCACATAATCAGCATTAAATTCAACCTGGGTACGATGCCCTCTTCTCTAAAGAGAGGGTATTAATTTTAAAGTAGTAGCTATGGAATGCTGCATTTTCTAGCTGACTGCCTCCCAATGCTTTTCACATTTTGGTGTGTGCAGAAAGTGGTAACTTTGCACACTGCATGGGGTAACCAGGGGCAGTCAGTGGAATAGGAGTCTCCCAGCCTGAAGGCCCAAACAGCCCCTACAGCCTTATTCCCAGACACCCCGAGGATAAGGGAATTATATTCTGGCCTATCTCTAACCCAAGTGCAGCAGTGGCAGAAATAGGAGACTGCCCTGTACAATCTACACCACCGTTAACCTGACCGTACTTGGATTTCCTATACCATTTTATTTGCTGACACACATAACATGTCTATTTTTCTGGATTACGGCATTTAATCCTTACAACACCCTAGAAGAAAGCAGTCGTTGTTAGTGCTGCGTTAAAGATGAGGAAATTCTGGCAGATGCTCCCAGCACTTCCCCCTCCTCCCAGAAGCATATTCCCACACAGCGACGGCCTCCTCTGGGCAGGTGGGTGGGGCAGGCTGGACATGCCAGGGAGTCAGGCCCCTGGGAGCAGCCCCCAAACTCTGAAGGAGGCAAGTTGGCACATAAGTACCCCAGCTCCTTCTCTGCTCAGCTGGGATTACTGAGGCAGCTTCTATTCCCAGCAGGTGGAGCTCCAGTTGCCCGTGATGGGAACTTGCTTGCTAATGCACTCAGCACTGGCTGTCTTCCCCTCCTGTCTCATCTCTTCACTCCCGTACTGATGCTCCCTGAGATCATGTTCCAAAGAAGCTGCTTGCCCTCAACTCCCTGTCTTAGGCTTGGATTCTGGTGGACTCCAAACTAAGAGAAGGGTGGAGTCAGGACAGAAACTTGAGTTAGACACCAAAAACTGCTTTGATAACCACACTATATTGTCTGAATAGAGCAACAAACTCCCCCAATTTAAACATTTACAAGATTAAGAAAGCAACAGATACTAGGATCAGGTGTATTTTTTTTTTTCTTCTAGTTGATTTCTTTCTGGACTTCTAGAAAATGATGGGGATTGGAAAAGCAGAGACTCCAAAAATCATTTTGGTTGGAATGAAGGTTTCCCTCTAGGGGAATTTTAACCCTGAAGAGAGAAGATTCCTTCCTAAATGACCCCTCCCCTTGTTCCCTGTAAGGTAATCCCCAAACACCCATTCTCATCTTCTTCAGTAGTTAGAGCCCTTGATGTTTGGCAAGTGCAAGATTGCCTAGAAGAGAGACTACATTTTCCAGCATTCCTTGCAGCCAGGTGTGGCCATGTGACTAAGTCCTGACCAATGGGATGGAAGCATAAGTCTCCGTGGCAGCATTCAGGTACCTTTAGTAAGCAGTGGTGTCTGTGTGCTCTTTGCTTCTGATTTTCCAACCCTCCCTCCATCCTGCAGCCGGAAACATGGATGCTGCCTTCCTGAAGGCCACACAGAACCTTCTGTGTCCCAAATACTGTAGAGCATCATCTAAATTGCTTATCCGTTCCTTACACAAGCGAGAAACATTTTAGATAAGCCAATATCACTTTTTCTGTTTTTTTTCGGGGTGGGGGGGGTGGCAAAATATGCATAACATAAAATTTACCATCTTAACCATTTTAAGTATACAGTTTGTGATAGTAAATACATTTATAATCTTGTGAAATCACCACCAACATCCATCTCTGTAACTCCTCACCTTGCAAAGCTGAAACTCCATACCCATTAAATACTAACTCCCCATTCTCTCCCTCCTCGGCCCTGGTAACCACCATTGTACTTTCTGTATGAGTTTGACAAGTCCAACTACCTTATGTAAGTGGATCATACAATATTTTTCTTTTTGTAACTGGCTTATTTCACTTAGCATAATGCCTTCAAGTTTCAACCATATTGTAGCATATGTCAGAATTTCCTTCCTTTTTAAGCGTGTACAATATTCCATGTATATGCCACATTTTGTTTATTACTTTGTCAGTGGACACTTGAGTTGCTTCTACATTTTAGCTATTGTGGACAATGCTGTTATGCACATGGGTGTACAAGTATCTCTTCAAGACCCTCTTTCAGTTATTTTGGGTATATGCGCAGAAATGGAATTGTTACATCATATGGTAATTCTATTTTTTAATTTTTTGAGGAACTGCCTTACTGTTTTCCATAATAGCTGTACCATTTTATAGTCCCATCAACAATCCAGAATTTCTCCATATCCCAACAAACACTTATTTTCTGTTTGTTTTCTTTTTTATAGTTGTCATCCTAATTGGTCTGAAGCAGGCCAATGTCAGTTTGGAGTTTATGTCATTTATAGTTGAAATCAACCCTAATTAACACCAAACCCAACCCACAAAGCATAGTTTTCTGTGCCCTTGCATGCCTATGCCATGGGTTCAAGTCAAGTATTCTGCAACCATGAAAAGTGCTAGAAAACCACACCACTGTGTTCTCAGAACGAAAAGTCCTGAACTCAAGGAAGAACAATCATGAAGATGTGCAGTGTGCATACATTCCCAGATCTAAAACCATCTGCGAAGCCGAGTTCCATCTAGGAAACTAAACATCTTTGCACAAGTTTTACATTTCACATCAGAATGTTACATTTAGTAGTTTATTTTGTGTGTTGCCCTAACAGAGCCAGAAATTATTTTTAAATATATAATTAGCTTTGAGAATAAAACTGTTCATAAAATGTAATTTTCTTATTGCTGTTTCGTACTGGAAACATCTAAGAGTTTCCACAGCTTAAAAACATGTTTGATGATCAACACATTAACCCGATATTGTGGGAAATTTTCATGTGTAAATACAGCCTAGATATTGTATTAAAGAGAAGTGATTTCACTACAAAGAATTCATGATAATGTATGTGTTTATACAAGTATATTCATAAAATGAAAAAACTGGCTTCAATTAACTGATTGTTTCACATAAATTATTTTTAGTTATCAACAATTTGGATAATTGACCCTGTCATTGCATTTTGGTAGTTTTGTTTTTATTTCATTCTTGTTTTATTTAGTGTTTTGTTTAGTCTTTGACCTGTTAAAGACCTGATTTTAAAATTATTCAACTGCCAGGTAGAGACTATGCCTAATGCTGGCATGGAACTAAGGCTGTACATTCTAGCCCCTTTCTGCATATTTTCACCTGGCTTTAGCTAGCCATCAACTCACACTTGGTGTGGATGTGGATGTAGATGTATGCGCCTATGGATGTGGATGAGTGTGATTTCTATAATGAGTTACAGTTCCCACTATCCTCTCAGGTCCTCTCCCAGGCTCAGTTTCCAAATGTCAAAATCCAAATGTCAAAACTTCTCCAAGGGGGCAAAGGGAAGGAATAAATTAACATGAATTTTAAATAAATCACAGAGCCTGAAGGAACTGCTTCATGATGGGCATATAACACAGAGCCAATCAGTAAAAGACCAGGAAAACCCAACGTGGCCTTTCCTTCAACAAGGACTCATGGATGTCATGCTTGGCAGCCGAAGTACAGTAGACTATGGTCTAATGCCAACACAAAGGCCATCCAGGGAATCCTGATGGCCCATCAACTTCCCTGGATGTCTGAACCACAGGGCACTTTCCCCCTTTGCTTTGGAGAGCATGAGCTTCGTCTGAATGAGGTTCTATTTTTGGGCCTTACACTGCAGGAGTCCAAGAATGGATTCTCTCAAGATACAGTGTTCCCTAAAGAGCATAGGCCCAGGGTGAGAAAACCCAGGTTCAAGTTCTGCCACCCACAGGCCCTCTCCCAGGCTCAGTTTCCCCATGAAGTGCTACAACAGGTGGATTTTCAGGTCACTTCTACCAGCTCCAAGTCTGTTACTACAGATCAAAACCCAAAACAAAAGAGCTGACAGGAATCGAATCAATAAATGTGATTTGATAAATGTGTTCAAACACAACATTGACTAATCTACCCAAGATTCAGATTCAGAAACTGGAACTCAAACATAGAGCAGGTTTGGAGAAATTCTCTGGCTACCCTACACCAGGGGTTTCCAAATCTGGCTGGAATGACCAGCGACACTCATTAAAAATATAAGTTTCTGGGCCCCACTTGAGGCCCAGGGTAGGGGTGGTACATCTGTATTTTAAAATTCATTTATGCAATTTTAAATGGATAAGTATCTTACATGGTTAAATATTTGTGTGTGTGTGTGTGTGTGTGTGTGCGCGCGCCCGCGTGATAGAGCCTGGCCCTCCAAAGTAGCTGGAACTACAGGCACACACCACCACACCCAGCTAATTTTTGTATTTCTTGAAATAGAGATACGGTTTCACAATGTTGGCCAGACTGATCTTGAACTCCTGACCTCAAGTGATCTGCCTGCCTCAGCCTCCCAAAGTCCTGGGATTATAGGCAGGAGCCACCACACCCGGCCCATGGTTAAATAATTTTTTTAAGATATAAAAAGATACTCTGTTAAAGTCTCCTTTCCACCTCTGTCTCCCAGTTGCCCAGTTCCTACTCACTTATGCCCCTCAGGTAGCCAGTGTCACTGGGGCATGTGCATGTGTGTGTGGGGCGGGGGGGGGTCTTTGTGTGTCTACCGAAATTCTTTTTATGCAAGTAAAAAAAACCTCTACTCTTCTCTTTTTTTTTTTTTTTGAGACGGAGTTTCGCTCTTGTTACCCAGGCTGAAGTGCAATGGCGCCATCTCGTCTCACCACAACCTCCACCTCCTGGGTTCAGGCAATTCTCCTGCCTCAGCCTCCTGAGTAGCTGGGATTACAGGCACGCGCCACCATGCCCAGCTAATTTTTTGTGCTTTTAGTAGAGACAGGGTTTCACCATGTTGACCAGGATGGTCTTGATCTCTGGACCTCCCAAAATGCTGAGATTACAGGTGTGAGCCACCGCACCTGCCAACGTTTAACTTTTAAATTGCAGATCACTTGGGGAGCTTGTTAAAATGCAGATTCTGATTCTGGAGTTCTAGACGGGTGATGGCAATACTGCTGGTCCATGGACTGCACTTTGAGTAGCGAGACTCCAGAGGACATGTATTGAACATAATTCCCAGGTGTCAGCTGCCATGCCATGAAGGTAATTAGACTTAGCATGCTCGGGACCTAAATTCCAGTCCCAGGACAGCAATTCACTAGCTGAGGGAGCTGAGGGGCCTTGCCTCAAATCCTCACATTTTCTGAGCCTAAGTTGCCTCATCTGTAAACCAGGGGCAGTACAGATAAGTCTGTAAGGATTAACATTGATACATCTCAAAAACAAATGTGCTGGCTCAAGCCTGTAATCCCAGCACTTTGGGAGGCCGAGGCGGGTGGATCACGAGGTCAAGAGATCGAGACTATCTTGGTCAACATGGTGAAACCCCGTCTCTACTAAAAGTACAAAAAAATTAGCTGGGCACGGTGGCGCATGCCTGTAATCCCAGCTACTCGGGAGGCTGAGGAGGTGGAGGTTGCGGTGAGCCGAGATCGCGCCATTGCACTCCAGCCTGGGTAACAAGAGCGAAACTCCGTCTCAAAAAAAAAAAAAAAAAAAAACAAATGTGCTGAGCAAAAGAAGCCAGACAACAGAGTACATCCCGTTAGATTCTATGTGGAATTGTAGAACAAGCAAAGTCAATCTACGGTGACAGAAATCAGAACAGGTGCCTCCGGTCTGGGGCAAAGGGGACTGACTGGGAAAGGGGAGGAGGGAACTTTGAGGGGTAGTGGAAGTATCTCGCTTGTTTTCCTGGTAACACGGGTATATACATTTGTCAGAACTCAATGAACTGTGCACTTAAAAGCTGTGCATTTTACAACATGTAAGTTATACCTAAATTTAAAAATATATGAAAAGTAAATGGTGTAACTTCGTGTAAGCTGTGGCGTGCCATCGAAATAGAAGCTAGTGTTAGCTTAAGGAAAAGTGCCATCTGCGTGCAGGGATGAGGTCATTGATCGCCAGGGGACCGGAGACGGCCCTCCACCCCTGCTAACGGGGCAGCGTGCTCCCAGACCCGCGCCGCCGGGGAGGCCCACGCCCTGCCTCGGTTTCCCCCGATGGCCGCCGCTTACTTGCTCCGGAACTCGTCGAGCGCTCGCTGTGCCTCGGTGCCCTGGCGCTCCAGCCGGGCGCGCTCGGCCGCCAGGTCCCGGGCGCGCTGGCGGTTGCTATCGACTTGGCGGGCGAGGGCGTCCTCGGGCCCCGCCAGCTCGCCCAGGCGCTGGAAGGCGTCCAGCTGCCGCCGGAGCCCGGCGTGGCGCTGCTCGAGCGCTCGGGCCCGCTGGACGTGGGCGGCCACGCGCTCGCCGAGCCCCTGCAGCGCCGCCAAGCTGGTCGCCCCAGGCCAGGCCTCGTCGGTCGGGCGCTCGGGCTCCGCCGTGCGCGAAGCCTCGTCGGCGCGCTGGTACTGCTCCTTGCGGCTCTGGAAGACATAGCTGCGCCGGTACATGGCTGCTCTGGCGCGGGCGCGCGGGCGGCGCGGAGCCGGCTCTCCAGGAGGCCCCCGGCGCAGCCCGCAGCCCCATAAATAAATACCGGAGGCCCCCGGCGCGCTGCTGGGACGTTCCAGAGCCGATCAGCAGTTGGGCGCCACGCTGGGCCCGGGCGCGGAAGAAGAAAAGAGCAGCGGCCCGCTTTGTGCGGCGGATTAGCGGCCCATACAGCTCCGGGGTTGGAAGGTTACACTGGGCAATGAGGGTTTTGTTCCCTGATTGTTCGGGCCTGTTGCTTTTGATTGAATGGAGGGTCAGGGGACACGGGAGGCATGACGCTCTTTTGACTGGTTCCACTGGGGACTGTGAAGGAATCCCCAGGCGAGCTCTTTAAACTTGGACTAGCTCAAGAGCCCAAGACTTGTCACTTGTCTCCCCTCTCATTAAAACTCTCAACATAGAACTCTTTAACAATGCTTTTTTTTTTTTTCTGATTACTTAAGCAATTTCTTTTGTCTTTTTATTTCCAAGTGCCTGGCTATCCATACAGCAATTCTTTTTCATAATCATAACATGACATTTAGGACCGCTCCCTATGCCAGAGGTTCTTAACCACGGATGCAAAATAAAATGGCATGTCTCTGTAAGTAGTAAGGTTTGTCACAAGTAATTTGTTAGTAATACCGGTGCTTGTTTGTGAAGAGCCTACAACTTAGGAGACATTCACGATTATGTTATTATAATTCACCCATGCTCTGATGGAGTTTGACACCCTTTCTTGAATGGAAAAAAACAAATAGAGCCCCACACATGGCACTGCTATAATAGGTGGCTCACGCCTGTAATCCTAGCACTTTGGAAGGCCAAGGCGGACGGATCTCTTGAGGTCATGGGTTCGAGGCCAGGTTGGCCGACATGATGAAACCTCGTCTCTGCTAAAAATGCAAAAATTAGCCGGGCTTGGTGGCACGTGCCTGTAATCCCAGCTACCCAGGAGGTTAAGGCAGTAGAATCGTGGAACTCGGAACACCGAGGCTGCAGTGAGCCAAGATTGTGCCACTGTATTCCAGCCAGGGCAACAGAGTGAGACTCAATCTCCAAAACAAAACAAAACAAAAAAAGATTCTTTTCTTTTCTTTTTTGACATAAAATGTAATACAAAAAAAGTGTAATAAAAAAATGAGACGGGGTTTTGCTATGTTGCCCAGGCTGGTCTCAATCTCCTGGGCTCAAATGATCTGCCATGAATTGGCCAATCCTCAATTAGAGAATAAAGGATTTTCCCCACTGTGTTTCATTTTAATTTTTATTATGGAACTAACAGTTGGATTTTCAGGACAATCTTTTAGAAAAAGAAAATACATATATATATGTAAAAAAATATATATATATAATTAATAGCTAGACTTAGACAAATTTAAAAGTAAATTGTGTGTGTTGAAAGAAATTAATACCACTTGACCTGAATATAAATATTTTGTCATATCTCCAACTTTAAAAATTATCAAAAGGGCTGTTTTCTTAAAAGGATTAGTAGTACCATATAATTACTAACTATATGAATTGCATGTGATTATACTACAAATTAAAGTTATAGTTATCAAAGATAGGGAAAGAAAATTATACAGATCTTTGTGGAGTTTGTTATTACTCCAGATCATTACCTTAAGATAATAGATTCGGTCAGGAATAAAGCTATGTAGGGCCCTAAGCTATGCTGGTGGCGTGGTTATTGTTCTATTTTCTTAAACCATTTAAAATTAGATTCGGCCAGGTGCAGTGGCCCATACCTATAATCCAGAACTCTGGGAGGCCAAAATGGGAGGATCTCGTGAGGTCAGGAGTTCAAGATCAGCCTGAGCAACATAGTGACATCCCATTTCTTTTATTTGTAAAAACAAAAATAAATAAAAGTACATAAAATTTGATTGTATGGTCATATTGAGGAGAACCACATGAATATTTTTGTAGGTGCACATATGCCATGCTGATAGCATGGTAAATTGACTTCAGGCTTCCTCAAGAGCAAGACCAACATATAGCAAGAGTTATAAAATCATTTGTTCGGCCAGGCGTGGTGGCTCATGCCTGTAATTCCAGCACTTTGGGAGGCCGAGGCAGGCGGATCATTTGCAGTTAGGAGTTCGAGACCAACCTGACCAACATGGGGAAACCCCATCTCTACTCTCTACTAAAAATATACAATTAGCCGGGAGTGGTGGTGCATGCCTGTAATCCCCAGCTACTCAGGAGGCTAACACAGGAGAATTGCTTGAACCAGAAAGGTGGAGGCTGTGTTGAGACAAGATCGTGCCATTGTACCGGGCAACAAGAGCGAAACTCCATCCCAAAAAAACAGAAAAAAAAAAAAGAATAATAAAATCATTTGTTCCCTTTGATACCATGTATCAGTCAGCTATTGCTACAGAACAAACTGCCCCCAAAACTAAATGGAATAGATGTATTTATCACTGCACTCCCTGGGGCTGGGAGCTCAGCTGGATGACTGTCCTTCCAGCTGCAGGTCTCCTTTCAGCAGGGGCAGCTCTGCTCCCAATGTCCCTCATCCTTCTGAACTCGAGATGATGAAAGCACAAGAGCAAGCCCAGCCATACAAGCTCATCCCAGGACTTTGCATCATGTCTGCAGCATCCCATTGGTCAAAGCAAATCACATGGCCACAAATAAAGTCAAGAGGCAAGGAGGAGGCAGGGCTCAGCCTGAGGCCCTGGCAAGGGTGTGGGTGGATAATCCCATCATGCTGGAGTGGAGACTGGGGACCCACAACTCAATCTACCACACATGGGAATCCCATTTGAGAAAAATATATTCTAGAAACATAACAAAGGAAAAGATAGTATTTCAATTTAATCCAGTGAAATAAATGCTTAGAAAAGATCTCTTCACAAAGCATAGCCTCAGAGTTAAGTATTGCACAAAATCAAGTCTCTGCCCTCAGCATGCAGGAGGCAAATCCATACTGACTAATGAAAACCCAAGATAATCTGGATAACTTCTAAAATAAAGATCTTAGCAAAACGCTGTGGTTGTATTGTCGACCTTCAGGTGCGCTGGGAAATGCAATCCTGCTATGTGCTTAGAAGTGTGCCATATTTGTCAACAGCCCTGAAGACCACATCACTGGTGGGAGATGGTTCAGTCAGAGTAGAGATCATATGCATAAGGAAGAAATCATTGCTGAATGAATTTGTTAATTCAAGAGCCATGTTTGTAGAGAGAGAGTCCACAGGACTTAATGGAAGGTCAACTGTGGAAGAGTCACTCTAAATACAGTTGAATGGCACTAGTTTGGGGGCAGGAAGTGGATGTTGTTAGAATAGAGACTGAGGTTAAGTGATGGGGCGAGTGATGTAACCTATCTAGTCCAGTATGGGCACTGGCAAAATGAGAATAATCACTTATATAAGTAGGGTAACCATACATCCCAGTTTGCCTAAAACAGTCCACATTTACACCCACTATCTCAGCATAAATATAGTAAGCATCATCTTTCACTGTCAAGGGTACCTTGGTTTGTCTGAGAAAGACACGTCTTTTAGTCTGGCCTGCATAACCCAAATATAGAGCCTAAATGTGATCATAGGAATCATGCAGATAAATCCCAAAAAAGGAACAGTCTATTAACAAAAACAGAAGGGAGATGGTAATCTATACAAATGTTAATATAATAAAATACAAAAGAGAAGCTATGAAAATGTTCCAGGTTAAAAGAGACTAAAGAGACATGACATTGGCTGGGGGTATTGGCTCACACCTGTAATCCCAGCACTCTGGGAAACCAAGGTGTGTGGATCACCTGAGTTTGGGAAATCGAAACCAGCCTGATCAACATGGAGAAATCCTGTCTCTACTAAAAAAAAAAACTTAGCTGGACGTGGTGGGGCATGCCTGTAATCCCAGCTACTCCGCAGGCTGAAGCAGGAGAATCACTTGAACCCAGGAGGCGGAGGTTGCAGTGAGCCGAGATTGTACCATTCCACTCCAGCCTGGGCAACAAGAGCAAAACTCAATCTAAAAGAAAAAGACATGAAATCTAAATGCAATATGGAGCCAGGTGTGGTGGCTCATGCCTGTAATCTCAGCACTTTGGGAGGCTGAGGTGGGTGGATCACCTGAGGTCAGGAGTTCAAGACCAGTCTGGCCAACATGGCAAAACCCCATCTTTACTAATAATACAAAAAAATTAGCTGCGCATGGTGGCTCGTGCCTGTAATCCCAGGTACTTGGGAGGCTGAGACACAAGAATCGCTCCGGTAGTTGGAGGTTGCAGTGAGCCAAGATCATGTCACTGCACTCCAGCCTGGGTGACAGAGTGAGACTCCATCTCAAAAATAAAAATAAAATAAATAATAAATGCAATATAGATCCAAGACTGGATCTTGTATTGGAGGACAAAAACTGCTATAAAAGTTATCACTAGGCTCATTATCAAAATGACAATATAGACAGTAGATTAGACTATAAAATTGTATCAAGATTAAATTTATTGAAGTTTATGACTATGCTACAGTTATGTAAAATATCCTTATTCTTAGAAAATATACTCTGAACTATCTAGGAGCAAAGACCTATGATGTATGCAACTTATTCTCAAATGATTCTGGAAAAAAAATGACATATATAAATATAAACATAAATATAAATAAGTATGGAGAGATAGAGAGAAAGGAAATTAGATAAAATATTAACAAGAAGTAAATCTGTGTTGCTTGTACTATTCTTGCCATTTTTCCTAGAAAGTTTGAAATTATTTTCCAAATCACCTGCAAAAAGTGTGATCATCTTTTGCAGTATAGACATTAAATAAATATTACTTGTTTTATGTTATAGCTATATATATATAATATGTAATATACCTAGCTAAGAGGGGAGGTGCAGAGAGAATGGCTTAGCAAACTGCAGTAACAATAAGAGAAAATGGTCGATAACCATTAAACAATTTTACTTATTTATTTCATTTACGTATTTGTCTTTTAAAAAACAAGGTCTTGCTGTGTTACTCACACTGGTCTTGAACTCCCGTGCTCAAGCGATCCTCCTGCGTCAGCCTCCCAAAGT